CAACCGAAGCCTTCGGCTGACCAAAACGTGATCCACAAAGCAACGGAACGGTGTGTGTAAATCGTGATCCATTGGGGGCCGATGTCCAGTTCAGCGGGGTCAAACGTCTAAGGTGCGCAATACACCTGGATGCCCAATCGAGCCGGTGACCAATGCTACAACCAAGGCCTGGGTTCGTGTGGTTCGTAGGCTTCTTTATTGGTTGGGAATGGTGGCCAGTCATAACTGAAAACACCCACCCCTACCATACTGAGGCTTTTGGAGGCCTCATCATCCGATCCTTTATTGTAAACGTTCGAAATTCAGTATGAGCCGAATGCTTCTGAAAAATTTCTGTTAAGTGCGCTTATTAACTCTCGCAATGATCGAATATCCAAGACAGTGCCTTGTTTCGTTGGATCAACCGATTAGAAATGAGAAACCAGAATTTAGCTTCTTTAAATGGTACTTGATTTTTAAAACTACTGATAGCTTTTAAATATCATGCTTTGTCCTCTGTCCTACCCAAACAGAAAACGCATATTAGTCTATCCTGCGGTAGATGCACAGCTCAACAACTTTGCAAGATATTTTCCTAATTCATCACCATTTGACACATTTTTCACCTGAATCTCCCCTTCACCCCCCTCCCAGTGTGCATACTGCGGTCGTGTGGCCTTTTACTATTGTTGTTGGAACACTTGTTATTGCAACAGTGCCTGTCAAGCCAAGCACTGGGCATCACATATCAATTCCTGTGTCCAAGCTAGATCCCAACAAGCCCTCGCGGAGGCAAACGCCGCTGCGCCCACAATCACCATCCCCGGAATGCCTGCCACTGTGGTTTCATTGCCCGTGGAGAAAGCAGAACGCGTGCACCAACAACAACCACAAACGACCATAGTGGCTTGGTCGACCGTGCCGGTTCCCTCCGTCAGTTCGGCACCAGTGCACACGAGCGGTTTGGCACGTGCGAATGCTAGCAATTCAATCCGTGGCAAACTGAACCCGTGAATGACATTCCACTAAAGGTTTGTGCATCTGTTTCATGTTTCTTTAACGATGTAGTGATAACCAGATATGATAATTCAATGGAATTCATCGTGTACACGAAGCAACTGATACCTGGACTGAATAAATCCAGAGCACTACGCCGAAACTGTTTCAAGCAAGTTCGGATTCATCAGCACTGCGAAGCTGTCGGCTTCACTGCGAGTTGAGCTGTCTAGAATACATGCGTATACCACTCATTTAACTAACAGACAAATGATCAGACATTTTCAAATCTGTTTGTGCCCGATATAACGGTACCCATCCTCGAAAGTGACACTGCCAGTCGGAATGCCTATGATCATTCGAGTTTATCCACTGTCAAACCCAAACCGAGAAAATTGATACTCCAATGTACTCTAGATGCACGTGTAGTAGCGAAGAACTTTTCGAAAAAGATGCAAAGCAATAGCAATCTGGCGGCACGATCACCTGCATTATTTCGCTGTATAAACATGCCCAAGCCCCCTCCCCCTCTTTAAACGTTTCTTTAAAATGTGATAATGTTGGTCTCCTGGCCTTGTCTGCCATTTATCTAGAGCATTTTCGACTCTGCTTTGTTTACTCATAAAAACAGAACAAATTATTCTTATTTGTCACGAGATATGTAGAAAGCAGTTATGGTATATACTAATTTGCTTTTACATTCGCTGCGTTTGGTGGCTTTATTACTTTCAATGGTCTCCCAGCCATGTGGTTCCATAACCGGACTCCACACTCCGAGTTTAACACCAAGTGCTCCATGTTCGACTTCGCCGTTTTTTATTCACCTTTAAGCCGTTCCTCAGATATTCATGTGACACGTCTCTGCTATCAATCCCACCACGACGAGACTGCACCTTGACGTGGTGTGATGGCTTGTGCATCTCTATGACCCAACGAGCTACACAGGATGGTTTTTGTCAAGCCAGGAGCTCTTATCATGCTTGAAAGGTCAATGGGTAGAGGTCAGCCGAAGTTCAGTCTCTTGGTCCTCCAGGTTGGGGATTCGACCGGAATTTGCGTTTCAGTCGGTAAAAAATGGTGGAGGAGTAATCGATCCATGTAAATGAGCCTCTACTTCGCTTCACCCGCTGCCTTGCGGTTAGGTTCTTTTTGGAACTAAAGGCTTTGGACGAGAACCCTAATTGTTCTCCTGCTTTGTAGCTGGACACACTAGCAGTACCCGTTCATCAAACCCAAATGCATACACAAATTACAAATGATTCCATTGTGGTGATCCAGGCCTACACGATGGCGCCTACCCTGGAGCAACGCGTTACCATCTGTTCCTATCAAGCATCTACTTCCAACACAGCTCTCGACGGACGGCAACGTGGCGCTCCAGCTCAACTGGTACGCTAACTCAAATACACCACATAGCAGTAAGCTACCGTTGGCGCAGCTCAGTGCAAAATTGCAGGTCCTATTGGACCACCTGCGTTGAGTCGGACCACGCACTAGTTTTGATGCAGTTCACTCGCCGACTGACTGATCGGCGACAAAACCAGCAAACTCGGATAGCTCATCAACGACTATCTGCTCCAGCCATTCGTGTACGCTATGAGTCAGAGCTAGTGCGTAAGCTAAGTGCGCTTCAGCATGGTGATGTAGACG